AAACAAAATAAATGTAATAACAGAAGCAACAACAACTACGGGCCTTCTAATGTAAATTACAAAATACAATAAGACGTAAAATAAACGTATGCGTTTACAACAAAAACAAACTTACGGATTACAAACCAAAAAGAAGAGAAGAAAAAAAAAAACAAACTGCATTTTCCGTCATAAGACGTGGAAAGACCAACCAGAAACTGCCCGCATAATAGTTTTTTCTGTTTTTAACCTTTTTATGGTTTTTTATATTGTGAATTGTTTAAACATTTTCTTGATTTAATTAAAAAAAAGAAACAACTAAAATTTTTATGAAACTCTTATTTCAAAACAAGAAGATTTCATTAGTGTTTTTATGAATAAAAGTGTTAAACCCCTTAAAAAAAACTAAAAAATTAACTAAATTTTTATTTAAAACATTAAAAATTACCCAATAAACAAAATTATTTCTATTTTTCAAATAGAGCAATTGTGTAAAAAAAAAATATAAATATAAACATTTATAAAATTCTAACAATTGGATTATGCTGAGGCTCCATTTTAAACGTCACACTAGTTTATTAACCCCTCGGAAACGGCATGTAGTAGCTAAAAAACAGCAACAACAAATAAACATAAACCAACAACACTATCAAAAAACTATGTTATTAACCCAAAATCATTGTGTGATTTGAAAAAAACATTTACAGTTTAATCAAAGATTCAATCAACGTATCATTTTCAATTTGGAATTGTATCACAAGAATATATTTTTGAAAAAATCCCTTCAAACGTTTTATAAAAAATCTAAACGTCAATATCTCTGCATAAAAATTTCATAGATCCAGTAAAAAACACACGCACACCACAAAGACCAATCTACAAAAATATACACACACATACACACTCTTGGATACAAATGAATAAAATTTGAAAAAGGTAAATTTTGAAATGAAATGTTTAAAATGATAATAAACATTAATACAAAAGAAAGTTTTTTTTTAAAGAGAAATTTTTGGTTTTTAAAGAAAACAAATAGAATTGAATTAGTTTTTAAATTAAATTTATTTAATTTTGAAAGTAAATTTGAACAATCATTTGTAATAAGTACTTTTTTTACATTAGGTGTAATACCTATATTTATGTCAAACTGTCAAGAAGCAAGTTTCTGATTTAAGCAAACTGTCAAATGTGTATTTTGACAGCAACATCTGATTAATACTTTTGTGTTGAATATGTATTTGCTAAACTTCTACTTCAGTTCTAATTAATTTCTACTTTAGCTCTAGTTCAGTTCTAGTTTAGTTCTAGTTCAGTTCTACTTCAGTTCTGGTTCAGTTCTGGTTTAGTTCTAGTTTAGTTCTTGTTCAGTTCTAGTTCAGTTCTAGTTCAGTTCTAGTTCAGTTCTAGTTTAGTTCTAGTTCAGTTCTATTTCAGTTCTATTTCAGTTCTAGTTCAGTTCTAGTTCAGTTCTAATTCAGTTCTAGTTCAGTTCTAGTTCAGTTTTAGTTCTAGTTCTGCTCTAGTTTAGTTCTAGTTTAGTTCTAGTTCAGTTCTAGTTTAGTTCTAGTTCAGTTCTAGTTCAGTTCAGTTCAGTTCTAGTTCAGTTCTAGTTCAGTTCTAGTTCAGTTCTAGTTCAGTTCTATTTCAGTTCTATTTCAGTTCTAGTTCAGTTCTAGTTCAGTTCTAGTTCAGTTCTAGTTCAGTTCTAGTTCAGTTCTAGTTCAGTTCTAGTTCAGTTCTAGTTCAGTTCTAGTTCAGTTCAAGTTCAGTTCTAGTTCAGTTCTAGTTCAGTTTTAGTTCAGTTTTAGTTCAGTTCTAGTTCAGTTCTAGTTCGGCTCTAGTTCAGTTCTAGTTCTAGTTCAGTTTTAGTTCAGTGTTAGTTCTAGTTCAGTTCTAGTTTAGTTCTTGTTCAGTTCTACCTTAGGTCTAGTTTAGTTTTAGTTCAGTGTTAGTTCAGTTCAGTTCTAGTTCAATTCTAATTCAGTTCTAGTTCAGTTTTAGTTCAGTGTTAGTTCTAGTTCAGTTGTAGTTTAGTTCTACTTCAGTTCTAGTTCTGGTTTAGTTCTAGTTCAGTTGTAGTTTAGTTCTACTTCAGTTCTAGTTTAGTTCTAGTTAAGTTCTAGTTCTGGTTTAGTTCTAGTTCAGTTCTAGTTCAGTTCTAATTCAGTTCTAGTTCAGTTCTAGTTCAGTTTTAGTTCTAGTTCTGCTCTAGTTTAGTTCTAGTTCAGTTCTAGTTTAGTTCTAGTTCAGTTCTAGTTCAGTTCAGTTCTAGTTCAGTTCTAGTTCAGTTCTAGTTCAGTTCTAGTTCAGTTCTAGTTCAGTTCTAGTTCAGTTCTAGTTCAGTTCTAGTTCAGTTCTAGTTCAGTTCTAGTTCAGTTCTAGTTCAGTTCTAGTTCAGTTCTAGTTCAGTTCTAGTTCAGTTCTAGTTCAGTTCTAGTTCAGTTCTAGTTCAGTTCTAGTTCAGTTCTAGTTCAGTTCTAGTTCAGTTCTAGTTCAGTACTAGTTCAGTTCTAGTTCAGTTCTAGTTCAGTTCTAGTTCAGTTCTAGTTCAGTTGTAGTTCAGTTGTAGTTTAGTTCTTGTTCAGTTCTACCTTAGGTCTAGTTCAGTTTTAGTTCAATTCTAGTTCAGTTTTAGTTCAGTGTTAGTTGTGGTTCATTCTAGTTTAGTTCTTGTTCAGTTCTAACCTTAGGTCTAGTTAGTTTTAGTTCAGTGTTAGTTCAGGTTCAGTTCTAGTTCATTCTAATTCAGTTCTAGTTCAGTTTTAGTTCAGTGTTAGTTCTAGTTCAGTTGTAGTTTAGTTTCTACTTCAGTTCTAGTTCTGGTTTAGTTCTGTTCAGTTTGTAGTTTAGTTCTACTTCAGTTCTAGTTCAGTTCTAGTTTATTTCTAGTTAAGTTCTAGGTTCTGGTTTAGTTCTAGTTCAGTTCTAGTTTGTTCTAGTTTAAGTTCTAGTCAGTTCTAGTTGCAGTTTCTAGTTCAGTTCTAGTTCTAGTTCAGTTCTAGTTTCAGTTCTAGTTCAGTTCTAGTTCAGTTCTAGTTCAGTTCGAGTTCAGTTCTAGTTCTATTTCAGTTCTAGTTCAGTTCTAGTTTCAGTTCTAGTTCAGTTCTATTCAGTTCTAGTTCAGTTCTAGTTCAGTTCTAGTTCAGTTCGAGTTCAGTTCTATTCTAGTTCAGTTCTAGTTCAGTTCTAGTTCAGTTCCAGTTCAGTTCTAGTCAGTTTAGTTCAGTTCCTGTTCAGTTCTAGTTCAGTTCTAGTTCAGTTCTAGTTCAGTTCTAGTTCAGTTCTAGTTCAGTTCTAGTTCAGTTCTAGTTCAGTTCTAGTTCAGTTCTAGTTCAGTTCTAGTTCAGTTCTAGTTCAGTTCTAGTTCAGTTTCTAGTTCAGTTCTAGTTCAGTTCTAGTTCAGTTCTAGTTCAGTTCTAGTTCAGTTCTAGTTCAGTTGTAGTTAGTTCTGTTCAGTTCTACCTTACGTCTAGTTCAGTTTAGTTTGGTTCTAGTCAGTTTAAGTTTCGTTTACTTCAGCTCAGTTCAGTTGCAGTCAGTTCTACTTCTAGTTTAGTTCTAGTTCAGTTCAGTGTCAGTTCTAGTTCAGTTTCTAGTTCAGTCTTTAGTTCTAGTTCCTAGTCAGTTCTAGTTCAGTTCTAGTTCAGTTCTAGTTCAGTTCTAGTTCAGTTCTAGTTCAGTTCTAGTTCAATTCTATTTCAGTTCTAGTTCAGTTCTAGTTCAGTTCTAGTTCAGTTCTAGTTCAGTTCTAGTTCAGTTGTAGTTCAGTTCTAGTTCAGTTCTAGTTCAGTTGTAGTTCAGTTGTAGTTTAGTTCTTGTTCAGTTCTACCTTAGGTCTAGTTCAGTTTTAGTTCAGTTTTAGTTCAGTGTTAGTTCTGGTTCTAGTTCAGTTTTAGTTTAGTTCTACTTCAGGTCTAGTTCAGTTGCAGTTCAGTTCTACTTCTAGTTTAGTTCTAGTTCACTTCTAGTCAGTTCTAGTTCAGTTCTAATTCAAATCTAGTTTGGTTCTATTGCTATTCCAGTTCAGTTTTCAATAGACCCTCGCTCTACTAAATATTTTATTTATGTATGTATATTGCTTATTAACACTAAAGATTTCTTTTAACAAAAAAAAAAAATCTACAAATTATTAATAAATTTTATAATTTTTTATTTATTTATAGTGCAAAAACCCCATTTAACAGAATAAAAAAATAAGTAAAATAGCAGTTAATATTTACTAAAGCAATAAACAGGAAACATTTATTAAAAAAACAGCAGCAAGTAAAAAAAAGCCTTTTAATTTAATAAAATAAAACAATTCAAGAAATAAAATGACAAATAAAATCCATTAAATAAAACAGCTGTTAATATAACAGTTATAAAACTACTATCAAAACAACAAGTTCTTTACAAGAAATTTAAAAACAAAAATTTTCTGTTTAAGTGACAACAGCAACAAATTAACATAAAATTACAGCAAAAAAGAGAAAAACAACTACAAAAACAAAACAAATAAGATTACAAAAGTTTCTGTTAACGTCCACTCAAATACTGTTAAATTAACAGTTGATAAAAAGTAAACAACAGTTTAGGGCAAAAGTTTAACAACAAATTAAAGAAAACAAACCAACAAGTGTTTATGGAAAATAAGAAAAATATTTAAAAATTTAAAAATTATAAAAAATCCAAAAAGTTGTGTTCATTATTAATAAAAAATAGAATTTAAAATCTTAAATAATATTTAAAAATAAGAAAATTAAAAAAAAATTTTGTTTAAAAAAATAATTTTTTCAAAAATAACAAAAGTGTAAAATGATAAAAAACGAAATTAAAAAAAAATATTGTTGAAATTAAAAAAAAGTTTTGTTAAAAATTTATAAAATTGTTTTACAATAACAAATATATAAAAAAATTAAAAAAAAATATCAAAAATTCAAATAATTTAACAAATTTAAACAAAAATATAAAAAATAAATAAAATCCAAACAAAATTTCAAAAAAGTTTAAAATTTATAAAAAAGTGCAATTAATTTCTTTAAACAAAAGTTTAAAAAAAATTTAAAATGAATATTTCGCAAAAAGTTTTAATTAAACAAAAAAATAAATTTAAAAAACAAAATTAACAAAAAATTTAATTAAAAAAATCAAGTGCTAATTCTTACTAAGAGCTTCCTTTTTAAAAAATTTCCCCTAAAACGTTTAAAACTTTTAACAAAATTCTTCCCTCTTTTAACGTAAAAAAGTTTTCGGTTCTTTTATTTTTGCGTTAAAAAGTCTAAATTTTCGTTTTTCCCCCTTTATTGTCCCCTTATTTTGAAGTAAAACTAACTTGAACTCAAACATGTCTACTGGTCGTCGTTTAGCTAAACGCTCTATAATCGGCACTAAAGTTTGTGCTCCCGGACCCGATGGTCTTTGGTATTCGGGTGTTATACAAGATGTTAAAACACCACCCTCGGCAACGGTAACTAGTGCAACGGCTAGCTCATCTAGTTCACCACCACAAGAAACCAAATACATTGTACGTTTCGATTTTAAGACCCAAGACAGTGCCATGGAATCACGTCGTGCGGTTAGTGTTCATATAAGTCCGGCTCAGTCGTTGCGTCGTAATGCTATGATTAAAGAATTTCTTGAATCGGATTTAATCGGTCCCGGTTTTCGTTCGATAATGGGTGTTAAACTGCAATCGGGTCAGCGTGTCTATTTAACGTATAATGGTCGTGAGACATCAGGAGATGTGATTACACATGATCACGAAAAGGATGAGGTTCTGGTGAAGATCACAACTATTGGAAGTGAGGTAAGTGATAAAGGTTTTATGTTTTAAAATTATATACTAAGATAGGGTCTAGTAGTGTAGGAATAAAAACTTTTTTGTTGACTCAAATGGTCGAAAATTTGGTTGTTTGAAAGATTCGTTACAAACAATCCTTTGAACATTCCTGGGTCCCAGGTAAAAATTAAATTTTTTCGGTTTGTTAGAGAGATGTAGGGAATGCATCTGAATGTAAGACTTAGCAACAAATAAGGAGGTAGTTTCAGATCTCAAGCGTTTATCCTTTTATCCGATCTCGTCTGTAATTCCTGGATTAACAGAAGTCTGTTCAAGAAAAGCTATTTCGTGCAAAAATTTCATGAGATTCTTTTGACTTTTCTCTTGAACAAAACTCTAGCTACTTATGATCTGGGTCGAACTTCTGTATAAAGTTTTGATCTGGAACTACTAGATGATTTTTAGAAGTCTATGTGTATCTGATTTTATTTATATGTGTATCGGATTTTATGTCCTTATTTAGCGTCTCGAGAGTGGACTCCTATAAGAGGTTTTAGCTTCAGTATTTAACTTTAGCTTTAGATTTCAAAATCTCACCATATTCACCTCGTTACCTCGTTTTTCCCGGTGGAAAGAATCTATTAATTGGCTGATGCAAAAACAAAGTTCTTCAAGACATCACTTAAATTGGAAAGAAGTGGTGGAGTAACCTTTTCCTCAAAAATGTAAGAGAGATTCATTGGAGTTTTTTTCAAGCTCTCCTCCTTTGCTCTGGACAATCTGTGTATCCATTTCTGGGAACCTAACTTGCTTCACTCACTCACTACTACAAAGTAATGCGAACAATGCAATATTTTGCCCTGAAAATTCTAGCTTCAATGGACAAAGTAGGATCCTCTGGTCTGTTCGTGAAATCTTATTCATGTTCCTAAGCGATACAAACGATACAATCTCCGTAACCAATCTATGTTTATTACTCTTCTCTGCCTCGTCAATTTTACTAACCAAAAAACTTATAAGGGATTCATTCTTCTCTGTAGACTCTTCTTCTTTACTTAAATCATTCTAAGCATCCATTTTTTATATCTTAAGTTTCGATATTCCCGAAGAAATTCTTTTTATGCCTCGAAAATTTTAACTCTAACTGACAAAGTTAGTTTCCCTATCCAGTTTATAACAATCTACTTATAATAAACCTCTTCCAATTCGCTTTTGAAAAAGTCCAACTATCTCTTGAAATAAAGACCTACTGGTTATTTTTAAGAAATAGAAATACCTCTAGTCTGTCGGGACTATAAAAAGGTGAAGTCAAATGTATCCTCGGACTTTCTTTGGAATGATTTGACATGGGTTCGAACCAGGGAGTCTTATAATCTGGTACCAAGGGAACCAGTAGCCCATAGGGCAGAATTTCAGACTTTGTCTTGTCCCAGTTATTGGTCCCTTCGGACTGAAAGAGAAGAGAATGTTGGTTAAAAGATACATTGTAAAGTCTTTAATTCGGGATAAGTTCTGTGCTGTTGCCGAGACAACAGATATCCAGCAGAGGAGTGACTGTAGGTCTAAGCGGATGACAGAAAGTTCACGTACGAAAGTGAGAGGTTGAAGATATCTTTTGGGGTTAGCAAGACAGCACCCAAGATCTTAGCTCTGCGAGACCCTAATGTTAGACAGTTACATTAGATATGTTCTGAGATTTCATCTTGTAGGCCACAGAATCTGCATAGTTTCGTTGAAGAGTTGCCTAGAATGAATTGATGGTATCTGTGACCACAATGTCCAGTAAGTAATCCCGTTAGTACTCTGAGATCGCTTTTATTGAGCGCTAATAGCTTTTGGGATTTTCCCTTTGACAGTGTAATAAAACGTTTTGTCTGTCTGAGACCTGGTATTGCTTTCCAATGGCGAAAAAATTCAGATTTCACTCAAGAGTCACATTTAGCTATGGCGTATCCTCGGGGAATGCCAAAGATTAGTTGACGACGAGCTCCCCTATTTGCCAGAGTGACCCTTATGGCAAGGTACCCAACACAAAGTCAGTTTGTTATGTTTGCCTAACTCATTGAGTGACAATAAAGCCTTGAGTGATGCTTGGCTATCCAACATTATAAAAATGCTTAATCCCTGGTTCTTCTCCTAACACACACCCTAGCACAAATAAAGATGGCATATATTTGTGCTTGAAAGATTGAAGGATACTGTCCAAGGGGGATGGCCTTTGGAAATTGGGGCCACAAATGCCCGCTCCCGATTCGCCGTTTATTTGTTTGGACCCATCTGTGAACCAAACTTGATCAGCTTTTTCTTGCCATCAGTCCATTAGTCCCTAATCGGTATAATAACCTCAAATGATCGAAAACCATAGCTGGTGACCCACAGTCAGCATTTCTAATGTATGGGTCATTTATGAATAGTATAAGTATACTCAACCAAGACCCCAGTTTTCATGTTGGCAATACCTAGTAGGCGAATTGCTGATCTGCAAGTTTCTTCCTTGATAAGGTGGAATATGCAATATCTTTACGGGTATCTTTAAGCTGTAATGAATAGGATTTTGAACTTAACTTGTAATGATGAACCAAAGAGATTCATTTGGATCATATTAGTTGATGTTCCCTTGATTTGGGATATAAACCTGTGACTTCACAATAGCTTTTAACAAAACCTCTTTGCGGGTCTGTCTAATCGCTTGAACTTGGTGTCCAAGTACAAAAAACATTTCAATTCATTTCTCAAGAAACATCCAATTTTCTTAACTTTCTCACTCATTCATCAATTTCACTTAGAATAAAAAACCCAAACGTTTAAGTCGCGGCCGCACTCAAAAGCTAAACATTAATCAAATTGAACATTGTTTTTTAAAAGGCCTCCACCAATTAGCATTTTTACACACAAATAAGATTTAAGCAGCCCCCGGAATAAATACATTGTGTGAATGTTAGAGTGGGTGGGTGTTGGTCGTCGTTGCTAATGATTTTGTGTGTTATATCCAACGGGCAGAGTGACTGACTGTTAGTGTGTATAGTTGCAGTTTTCTAGAGTTTGATGAGATGCACTCGTTTAAAAACAAACACTATGTACTCGTTTTCTTGGACGTTTTCAATTTATTTCTTTTTGTTGTTGCAGTAGTAGCAGCAGTTTGTTAAATGGTGTGATACCAAAACCATGGCATTTAAAAAGTACAACAATAACAACAAAAACATTGCAAATATATGTATGTATATTGGTATCTATGTCAAGGTTAAAAAGCTTCGTAAAAGTGCAAACAACAACAACAACAACAAAAACAAACAGAAAATAAAAGTTAATAGTAAATGTATTTAGTATAAAAGTGTGAATGCACAATGGCTTGGGTGTGTGCAAAAAATATCACCATCTACTACACATATTCATACATATCTATTCTTAAACGTTGAATGCAATTCTTTGTTTTTTTCTATTCCATTTTACTTAACATTTTCTATTGTGTTTTTCTTTACCATTATTCTATGTTGAACTTTAAGTGTGGGCTTTAATCAATTATGCTCATGGAAATGTCCTCGATGGGGTTTCACAAATCAAAAAACAGCACAAAAGCCAGTAAATAACAAAAACAAAAGTTAATTAAATAATATTACATTCATTTGCTTGTAGTGAGAGAACCCAACTTCTAGCAGCATGTTATTAGAAGCCGGTCAGTAGGAGTATTTTTAACATGTTTATTTTTGTTGTTAATTTGAAGAATTTATGAGATTTCAAGTAGTTGTTTGCTAAATGTAAATGATTTATTAAGAAGTGGTTAAAGTTCTTGGAAAATTGTATATTTGTCACTGTGATGTTTTTTTTTTCATATTGAGTAATATTTCATTAGAATAACGAGGGTGGTCGAAGAAGGTGCTTAATATAATAACTGGGCAAATTTTACTCATTCTAGTGTAGGGTTAAAGTTGGCATGGTGGAATATTTACGATGATACATTTAAACGTTTAACAAAAATTGCCAAATCTTACTAACATTTCTCCAGGGTCGAAGGCCACATAGTGGAATATTTGTGATTATATTAAGAGGTTCAGTTTTAAAGAAAGAACCTCTTTAAAATATAATAAGGTCTGTTTCCCTTAATTGGATTCAATCCATATGCACACATTTTGTAAAACATTGGGCCCGTCAATTGGTGACTGATGAACAGGTTCTTTTTAATTTTGTTCATTTAGAACTGATTCTTTGAAAGCGTTTCAAGTTACATAATTCGTTAGTTAGTTAGTTAGTTAGTTAGTTAGTTAGTTAGTTAGTTAGTTAGTTAGTTAGTTAGTTAGTTAGTTAGTTAGTTAGTTAGTTAGTTAGTTAGTTAGTTAGTTAGTTAGTTAGTTAGTTAGTTAGTTAGTTAGTTAGTAGTAGTTAGTTAGTTAGTTAGTAGTTAGTTAGTTAGTTAGTAGTTAGTTAGTTAGTTAGTTAGTAGTTAGTTAGTTAGTTAGGTAGTTAGTTCGTTCGTTCGTTCGTTCGTTCGTTCGTTAGTTCGTTCGTTCGTTCTTTTCGTTCGTTCGTTCGTTTTCGTTCGTTCGTTCGTTTTTTCGTTCGTTCGTTCGTTCGTCGTTTCGTTCGTTCGTTCTTCGTTCGTTCGCGTTCGTTCGTTCGTTGTTCGTTTCGTTCGTTCGTTTCGTTCGTTCGTTTCTTCGTTCGTTCGTTCGTTTCGTTCGTTCGTTTTCGTTCGTTTTCGTTCGTTCGTTCGTTCGTTCGTTCGTTCGTTCGTTCGTTCGTTCGTTCGTTCGTTCGTTCGTTCGTTCGTTTCGTTCGTTCGTTCGTTTCGTTGTTCGTTCGTTCGTTCGTTCTTCGTTCGTTCGTTCGTTCGTTCGTTCGTTCGTTCGTTTCGTTCGTTCGTTCGTTCGTTCGTTCGTTCGTTCGTTCGTTCGTTTCGTTCGTTCGTCGTTCGTTCGTTTCGTTCGTTCGTTCGTTCGTTCGTTCGTTGTTCGTTCGTTCGTTTCGTTCGTTCGTTCGTTCGTTCTTTTCGTCGTTCGTTCGTTCGTTCGTTCGTTTCGTTCGTTCGTTCGTTCGTTCGTGTTCGTTCGTTCGTTCGTTTTTCGTTCGTTCGTTCGTTCGTTCGTTCGTTCGTTCGTTTCGTTTTCGTTTCGTTCGTTTCTTTCGTTCGTTCGTTCGTTCGTTCGTTCGTTCGTTCGTTCGTTCGTTTCGTTCGTTTTCGTTCGTTCGTCGTTCGTTTCGTTCGTTTTCGTTCGTTCGTTTCGTTCTTCGTTCGTTCTTCGTTCTTCGTTCGTTCGTTCGTTCGTTTCGTCGTTCGTTCGTTCGTTCGTTCCTTCCCCCCTCTTTTCTCCTCCCTTCTTTTTCCGCCCTTTTCTTTCCGTGCCTTCCACTATAAATTCTAATATTTTCAAATTATAATTTTTAACAATTCACGGATGCTTCTTAAATTTATTTGCATGTGTAGTGTCTATTTTTGTTGTTGTTTTTTCTAATATTAATAGTTTTTCTCATTGTTATTGTTGGTGGCGTGCCTGTCATATGGGATGAAGTGTATTTTTTCTATTTCAATTCAAAAACCCCATTCCCCAGTTATTATTGTTGTTCCTATATTGTACTTGTATACACAATCTATTTGTCATTTCACATGCTGTACAAAGTGTCAACAAGTTACGTCAGAATAGAAGCTCAAAAGAGAAAATAAAAACTGAAATAAAAATAAATACAACAAAACTATAAACACGAATACCTACAAAAACAACACTAGTATTTAATATAGGAAAAACAATAGACGTTAGAGCAGTTTAATAAACAACAATGCATTTGTAATCATATACACATCTATACAAATGTAAACTTACATTTTTTACATTTACGGTATATATTTGATATCACAGCAACAACAACTATAAAAATTAATAATAGACTTTATAATTTACACACTCACACTTTTATTTACCCTGCCAGCAATTTTGTAGTCGACTACGAGAAAAATTCACTTCTAGTTTACTTTTACAGACTGACTATAAGCTAACTACAATGTAATGCAGAGCTGTCCCCAAATTTTGTATTTGGCAACGTAAAGAACCGACTTTTAAATACTAACTACAAGCTAACTATAATGTAATGCAGAAGTGCCTCAAAATTATCTGGAAAGAATTAATTATATTTCAACATGTTTTCTCTTGTTTCTCTATTATCATGATTTTATTTGTTAACTTTAGTAGACTGACTATAAACGAACAACAATGTAATGCAGAAATGTTCCAAAATTTGGTATTTGTTAACGTAAAGACTAGCTACAAGCTAACTATCATATAATGCGGGAGTACCCCATAATTATCTGGAGAGCATTTTGTTTCGACATGTTTTCTCATGGTTCTTTATTATTTGGAATTTTGTTTTACATTTTTGTCATTTTCTTGTATACGTTGTGAAATTAGAGTCAGTAAATTGGAAAAATTAATTATAAAAGGTTAAATATTTCAAAACTCGGTTTATGGATACCGGTGTTATTATTAGTTCCCCTGCAGAAAACTGTTGTCTATTAATTTTAACGAACTAATATCATAACTTGTATTAAAGGGAAATGTAATTTAGATAACTAGGAGTTAAATTTTAACTATTTTAAATAAAATGTTATTAATTAATACAGTAGGGAATACAAAAGAAAACTATTACTTGACTTTTCTGAAACTAACTCTAAGTTAGTTAATAAAGAGTTACCTTTAAGCCAATTTTTTAGTAACTAACTTTAAGCTAGTTGAAAAGTCAGAGTCGGACAATTGACTACTGCGTAGGACATCGCCATGTTAAAATAGTCAGTTGGTTCCATTAAGAATAATCCAAGAATCAACCATAACTAGTTGATGAAAAAGTCGGCTTTTAATGCATTTAAAGTTAGTTGAGTTGCTGGCAGGGTATACACAAAAATTTCTTCATAGAGCCGGTCTACAACTACAAAACAAACTCAAACTATTAGAAAGACAAAAACACAAAACTATATGGGAAAAACAACAATTTCAATGATGACGTTTTATTTATTTTCAAGATCATTTTGTTATTGTTGTTGCTGGTGTTTATTTGGTCTATGTATAAAGAAA